GGATTCGATCTGATCCAACTGTCTGAGTTCCGTTTCGTGTTAAATTATCAGTCAGATTTTATCATTACTAGATTTCAGTAGATTCCATTTAAAGACAAGATAAACAGCAGGGATGATAGAGAAAACAAGAGGCAGGCAGACAGACAGTCGGACAGACAGAGACAGACAGAAAGCGAGGAAGAATGGGAAAGAGAAGGGATAACAGAACGCATGGAAGGAGAGAGGGTATGGAAAATGAAAATAATAAGCAAAGAAGCACATTTGTCCTAAGACTGTTGAAGAAATTAAAGACGTTTATCGGAAAGGAGAAAGAGTTTATTCTAAGTTTTTTTCGTTGGTTGGCCAAAGTGCTGGCAGGTGCTACAAACCTTCAAAACGACCTTGTCTGAGAAGAATCGTCTACTTTTCCCCCATTTCACTCTAGGACTTCACATTGCGAAATAACTCAAATAATGTGAATGTAGAATGACGGTAGTGTTCAGTTTTCCAAACCAATCCGTGTAGAGCATTCTATTTCACTTTCATTGGGGAAGACTTACAGTACATGAAGGGTGAGCAATTTTAGTGATGAACTTAAGTATAATAAAGCATCTATTGCATAGTGCAATAACTCTTGAATGAAAGTTGAATGAACGGAAATGAATGAGAAGTGAATGAAATGAATGAACGACGAATGAATGAAATGAAGAATCTCGCCACATGAAAACTTCATCATAGAGAAATCCGCCGTTTGAAAAAAATGATTGCTGTTGAGAAAAGCTTGATGATTCAAAAATGGAAGTGAAAAAGAAATAAATGAAATAAAAACAACACGAAACCAAACTCGATACTTGTTAGGCATATTTTATGATGATGAAGTTCCAGAGACTCAAAAAATGGCAACATTGTCTGATACCGCATCTGCGGTCAAAGTAGTGTGCAGCATTTTAGTTGTGGACGAGTTTCGTTGTGACCACCAAAAGCGTTTGAGATGTGGGCGGGGAGAATCCTAACTGATGAGTGTAAAGAAATATTGCGTGGGATCAAAGTCTTGTTCTCAAAAAATATTTATATTTTCGACAAGGAATTTGTTTCGATGTACTGGAAAATTTTCTAATATTATAAACCTTGTGGAGAAATATGTGCTGTAATAGCCTAACGAATAAGACTTTTATAGTGTTCACCAGACTTATTGATTAATTATCCGTCATAATCGTGATCTATAAAGAAATCTATAAATTTGCAACTGCCGGGAAAAGGAGTTTGATTGGGACAATATTCTGCGGTGCCATAGCCGGTAAACCACTTCAGTACTTTTCTAGTAATTAGGAAGTGTTTTATGACTTTAAACTAGATCAGATCACATAAATCGAAGTGGAGATCGCTCTCTTGCAAATGGCAGTGCCTTGTACTGCTTCAAGCACCTCACTCTCCAAAGCGTCGTCTTTGCGAATGCTTACTTATTTGGGTACATAGTTGGCCCGCCTTCACTAGTTGTGCGGACCCCAGCATAATTTCCATTTTTTTCAGAGTTTCGCCTGCTTAGCCACTGTGGTTTCCTGGAGTCCTGAGTTCAGCCAGACCAAAGTCTGTCCTAGGTCGTCACCACCACAGGCAGTTGCCGCCTTTGTGGATTAGAATGAGATTTGTCAGCACGCGACTAGTTTGAAACCATGACGGTGGTGGATCCTGGTATTGCCTTGCTCTTAGTTGGGCTTCCTGAAAGAAACGCCGAACTGCTTCTCAACTTGGGAAACCCTGTTAGAGGGATGAATCCCCCCACTGTACACCATAGCTCGACACCCACGAACACTTCCCAGTCACGATGAGGAGGTAAGCCGATGGGAGTGTTCTTGTAAATAATAACCAGTAAACATTATACTGGTCGTAAATTGACATAGTTTTCAAAACCAACGCTTACATTCTGAGCTTGAACGACAAACGATGCAAGAATACCGTTAAAATTTCAAGCATATGTTTTTTTAAAACAATTTAGGGAAGGAAAGAATGGGAAATCATATCAGTTTTTCATTATTCTTTCCTCCTTCTTGCTAGTAGGAAAGACAAAGGAGGAATAGGAATAAGAATAGGAAATGGTAATGACCGTTGAAGGATCTGACACGAGTTGAATAATAGAGGAAGATGTTATCATGAAATTGCGCAAAACCTCACATGACAACAAAACTCCTTCCGATCGTTTTTTTTAATGAGCCTTTACTAATTGGAAACGCATGTTTGGAGGAGAAGAACTCTCTGAAAAGAAAACACGGAGCGAAGAATAAAAATTAAGAATAGAAATCGGCAAAATGAGAATGAAAGAGATGAAAAAAGGAAAAACTGGTATGGTGATGGTATGCGAGAAAGACGAGAAAAAGGGAAAAAGGGAAACTATTGAATACAAAAAAAGTAGGAGAGAGAAGAGAGGTAGCGGAAAACGACTTCTGCTTAATAAAAGAAGACAGAAAAAAAGAAAGAGGTGGATATGACAAAATGAAACGTGTAGAGAAATAAGCAGAAGCAGGTGAGATTAGAGTATACATGTACAATAGACAAATGAGTAATGGATAGTGTAGTTCAATGAAGTGACGGAACAATGAAGTCGGAAAAAGACTGTACAGAAAGGTGTCTGAAAGAAATTAAAAGCAAACAATCACATTTGAAATCACAAGAAAAACTGCTGATAGAAAGTACAAACTATCATGCAAAGGGATTGTGAAATTTTTGGAACACACAGAACGAAGGCTGGTCGTGGTTTAAAAAATCGTATTGGGCACCACCCAAGTAAAAAGAAGATTTGACTGCTACTTTATCTAAAGGGGCGCGTGCAGCGGAGTGGTTAGGGACTACCTGCAATACACATGGGCTCGATCCCTCGCCTCGGGCTCAAAATGCTTTCAATCACTCCGGGATAGAGAGATTGGTATAACAGTCTTGTCTGTGGAGGTAACATCAGTGACTCGATACTAGGCTACAGGGAGTTACTGAACAGGCCAGATATGCTTTCAGTCGCCTCTAACGATGCTCTTGAAGAAGTCGAATGGATGGCGTGCCCCTCAGAGATTGGTCAACGCCCAGATCTTCATCCTTTATCTTGTAATTTCCAAGATGAAACCAATGGCAATGTACTGTTTCAAATGCCTGACGAAATTGTTTGCTTCACGAGTTAGACTTCAGCATCTCCAAGCGCTATAATGCGATTCTGACAAAATCCACGATATCTACATAAAATCGGTATAAGTGTAGTTGAGTATTGAAAGCAAACGGTGCGAAAGACGAACAAAGTGAACTTAGATTGACGGCAAATAATACACCTGAAATCCCTTTATGTATGGCTGCTCTTCACCGTGTTACCTTATCTCCGAGACCCGACTAGAGTCCTGATTAATGTAAACTTATGAGCTGAAAACGAGTTTGGCATATCCATAAGGAGACTTAGCCTTTTCTAGGGATAAATCCGTGCGAAATTACAGTGCTGTCTATAGCTAAAGAAAGCGACTATACTAAATGTGCAGTGTTTTTCTTTTTGTTACTTCAAGTGGGGTAGAGCCTACTAAGGAGATCTGGAACGCGACAGGGGTAAGTGAAGGTTATCCTGATATCAAATCGAGTTGCTGGGAAATCAGCAGGATTAAAGGTAACATAGATGATGACTTCTTAATGCTATAGCTCGTTCAGCACATTGCTGACTCCTAAATCTAATTGGAGTGCAAATGGACGACCTTTATTCCTTCGTTTGCCCAATTGTACCATACGGTAGAAGCATTTCGTCAGCGTAGACATTCGTCTGCTTATAAGAACGCTGATTTCATTGCGATACGAATATGTATCATCCGAGGACGGCTAATTTCATCGAAAGAAAAGAGTAACGCTTGAGCTTCAAGAATTCAACGTGAATCTAAAAAATTTTCGTCTTTTCCTCTGTTTACTGAGCTCCTTAATTCAATCACCATCTCACCTGTTACCTCGTTTCCATTGATGTTCTCCTTAAGTCCTCATTTATGCAGACTTTCAAAATTTCCATCTAGTTAATGAAAAATTCACTTAGTTCGTAGGGATCTCTAGTAGAATCAATACGTCAACAACTCATCTCATTTCTGTTCCAAAGGCCTTCAGATATTCCTCTTCGGTAGATAAATGTTATACCCTATTTTTGCCAATTCGACCTCACCAACACGTGTACCGTTAAAGGTCCTGTCAGGAAAATGGCTTGCATAGAACGTGTGATGTCTTAGTACCTCATTCAATAACCATGGTTCTCCTCACTTGCCTGACAGGAATATCATCTGCAAACGAACAGTTCCTCAGTTAAACGTGCAGATCTCTATTTTATTTCCTAGTGATTTCGAAAAATTCTCTCACGCATATAGCATTGGCGCGTGTAACTCAGTGATTAGGAATGCTCTAGCATTCACACATGGTCGTTGGCTCGATTCCGTGCCCCGTGCTTACCAAGTCTTCATCTCTTCAAGGTCGGCAAATTAGTACCAGACTTGTTTAAGATGATAGCGGCACTGACTTGATGTTGTATATTGGTGGGCCATCGCAAGTCGGGGTCAAATAAGCATTCAATCAACGTCTGCTATGAATGAAGTTGAACGCATAGAATACCCATCAGGTATTGGTCAATGCCCAGCGCTTCATCCTTTAACCTTCAAATGGCCCTGGCACTCACACTCTATTCGCTATTAAGAACGATATGGCATTGTAGCTTTTTTCGCCGTAAAACTAATGAGGTCTGCTCTGTTTAGTCTTCCTGACGATACTTGTTCTTCAATATTTAGATCTGCTAAGCTTTCTTCAACATGGTTGAAATGAACTTATAAGTAGCTTGTCGGTAGCTTTTTCCAAGAGGCGATTCGTCAGTGATAATGTCAAAATACATTTGTCAAATGTCTTCTGCTGTCAGCTTTGATCTAACCTGCAATGTAAATTCTGCTGAAACGTCGAGAGACAACAACAATGCGTGGGTGTGTGCAACCTCACTTCAGTCGTACATTGCAAATTAGCGGACCAGTACGTACCTCATTCTCAACTGCTCTACACCTCAGAGAAGGGAAATAGTTGCTTATGATACACATTGAATTGCGAATCTTTTCATTGCAGAAGTTCAACATTGTTTAAAACACCAACTGGTTATCTCAGATATGAGGAAAATCCATAGGATTTCAAAAGTAGCGTCATACGACTGTTATACGGATGTTATTAACTTTAACATCGTAATTTTAACAATGTGAAACTATAAATAAAGGATAAAGCTTTCGGCAATGATCAATCTCTGAGGGATGCGCCAAGCATTCAACTTCATTAAGTATCGTTTGGAGCTGACTGAATGCATGTCTGGCCTTTACAATGACTCGCGGTGACCTAACGATGCTTCGAGCCAGTGATGCTATCCTCCCAGACAAGTCTGGTACCAATTTGCTGACCCCGGAGAGATGGAAGGCTTGGTGGTCCATGAGCGCGGAGATCTATTCCACGTGTGTGTCGCAGTGGCGCCTCCAACCACTGCGCCACTCACGCTCTGTGAAATGTGGAACGATACCAATCGATACTCTATGTCGAAATTTGGCTTAGTAGAAAAGTTTTAAGGAAGATAATGGGTCTGAAAACAATTTCGAAACAGATTGATCAAGAGCGACAGACTGTAAACAGTCTTTTCTTTCTAGGAATTATAGCTAATAGCTGCTGCATTGAAAAAATGTTCCGGAAAAGAAAAGTTGACAAAGGGAAGAATCTAAACCGCAATGTTGGAAATGTTGGAACCGGCAAAGAAGTAGCACATGATGAGAAAGAAGAAAGGCATCGATGAGAAGAAAGCAATGCATGAAGGAAACAACATCTATGGTTTACTGCCAGATTGACATTTTGGCTGAGTTTCTCGGAATTCTCAGAAAAGCGGAACGGTTGCTTTGATTATGAATATGATGAGAATGAAAAGAAAATCGTAAAAAGTAATATGAAGAGTAAGTGGAAAATTGCGGAGGAATTTAATTAAGGCTATATTTATTTATACAATCTTATAAACTGTGCTTTTTGAGCTGATAAGCAGTTGTTGTAGGTTCTCGTTGAAGTTTCCATTGTTGTTAATGCTGTTGTTGTTTATGTTGATGTTGTTGTTGTTGTTGTTGTTGATGTCGTTGTTGTTGTTCTTGAGGTTGTTGTTGTTGATGTTATTGCTGTCGTTGTTGTTGTTGTTGTTGTTGTTGTTGTTGTTGTTGTTGTTGTTGTTGTTGTTGTTGTTGTTATTGTTGTTGCTGTAATTGCAAGCATGCAGAGTAACTGTGTTAGGAGGCATAGTGCCTCACTGTTAGAATTGGGTCCGAGTTTTTTTCCTAGTCGAAACAACAACGACAACGATAACGAAAACCTATACGAACCTCGTATCAGCTCAAAAAGACCAGTTTATAAGATCACATAAATAAATATTTCAACTGTTTATGTCGAGGTTTATAGAAAGTCGGTCTTTTGAATATTTAAGAGTATATTACATAAGACATCAGAATAGTTTTAAATTTAGGTGCTCGGTTCAGCAGTTTACGAGGGAATCTGTGCAAATTTTTGTCCTCTAATGATTAATTTCTTCGATTTTTCGTGAAGATAGTGGACCAGTTTGAGCGTGAAATACTTCTAATAAAGGAGTTCTTCACGAAAACACTTTTATCCGACTGCTTTAAAACATTTAATACCACAGATTTATATTTTGAAACGATAACAAATATAGAAATGTAACGTCGCGAAAAAAAGATATTCATGTGGACACAACAGCCGGTTCGATCACCACCGAAGCCTAGCAGCGTCATTTATTCCGCCGGGGCCGATTAATTGTTGTCGGCTACGTTGCTTTAATATTTGATTAGTTCGTATCGTAAGAATTGAGATTTCCACTGCAATCTTTTTCCACCTAGTACTAGTTTGAGTAGACGAGAAAATCGACGATGAAGACGACGAGCGGCAACTAACCGGCTGCAGCTAGCCAGCTACATGTTGCCATCTGGTCGTGGCTTCGAAGACGATGTGCATAAACTGCCGAGGTTGGAGGCTGGCTGCACTCTCAGTGGCCGTCATTCAGATGATGTGACGATTTCCTCAATCAAATAACCACACCACAAGTCTGCGACGGCAGCAAAACATCGCTTTTGGAATTGTGGAATCCATTCTTCCATAACAGATCATATCATTTTCAACAGCATGTACGTGCGTGGTAGGGTATATCATGCGCATATATCCATATATATATAGGCAAGTATTTTTGTATGTATGGTGCATCGAATGTGTGTGTGTGTGTGTGTGTGTGTGTGCTCGTTTGTTTGTTTACTGGTGTGTATCTGCCTCCCTGCATGCGTATGCGTTGCGCTTGTGTGTGTCTATATATATATATATATATATATATATATATATATACATATATATATATACATATATATATACATATACATATATATATACATATATATATATATATATATATAGATGCTAGAGTAAACGAGTGTTTCTGTGGATCTGAGGATGTGAATGTATGTATGTTTTCGTGTACGCGAATGTCTATTCGATTGTATGTATATTAGTATGCATACGTGCATAAAGGTGTACTTGCATGTGTCTGTGTATGTACGTGTGTAGGCGTGTTGTCTGTTTGTGTTTGAAAATGCTTCTGTGTGTGTGTATGTGCGTGTGTGTGTTTTTATGTGTGTCCGTGTGTCCGTGTGTCTGTGTGTCTGTGTGCGTCTGTTTGTGTTTGTGTATATATGTCCCTGCTGTTTAGAAATTCTAAATCACTTGCATATGGATGCCGTCTATACAAATCAAAGGGTAGCATTTGGCCAGTGTAGCTATCTAGTTCATGGGCATTTCTTTCAGCGTTCTGTCCTTGGCTGAGATTTCTACTAGTCATCGAGAACTTGTCGTATAGCTAAAAAAACTCGATGAATGTGTAACTACAGAAACAAGATAATGCGATCACTCATTCATCATAAATGACGGTTTTTCTTTCGCCTCCCACTATTTCTTCTGATGATGTAGGGTGAGAATACGGTAGGTGAGAAATACATGCGTATGACCAAGTTAAAGACCGCTATCAAAGATGTACGAAACAATGGATTGTTGTGTCAAAACACACAAGACAGATATTTTTGCCCTTTATGGGACATGGTTCGATGTTACAGAGCCTTCTACTGAAGGAACATGAAAGCTTCTTTTGAAGCAACACTGAATTAATTGGTCGAAAATGGTAATAACAATATTTCAACGGCTTGGCCACAGCTTCTAAAATGGGTGAAGCAGAAGACAACATCAAAACGAGTTCAGATTCTTACAAAAACAACCCGATATCTTTCTAAATAGAAAAAGCCGATATGCCATGGTCGTCGCACACGCCACATTACACATGATTGGTCAATTTGATCGCTCTGGAAGAAGGACGACGCAAGCAACATCTTGCCGTCGTCCATGTGTTAATAAATCTAAAGTTATTTATCACTAAGTTGATCTGACAACTGTTCTTTGTTATTAATTATCGGTCCCTAGGTGGCAAAGACAAGAAAAAACAATGAAAGCCTAATGGAAATGTCAGAAGGGTCACGGCTAGTTAAATCCAGTCGAACTTGGTAACATGGAAGCTGTCTGTTTGCAATAACATCAAAGTACAAAGCAGTTCCAGTTTCGTTTTGTTTAGTAATGCATCATGCATCCAGAATTCCAATCTCAACAGAGAATGATATTTTTAGAAGAAAGTCCGCATCAATTGCTCCCATGGATTTTTTCTTTCCGCTTCTTAACTGTAAACCCAAGGTTGGATTCAGGCCTTGGTGCTAAGCTCCCATGAATGTGTGATTAAAAATGAACAGAAGAAAAAGGATCAGTGGAGCTACGTCGACAAAAGAACATAAACTTTATCCAAAAAGAATCAATAATAGAGGCGAAAACTGAGATTCTCGGATGAAATGACGTCATGGATACGATGAAATATTGCACAGATGCGAGAAAAAAAGTATTTCCTCAAAATGCCCGCTTCTACGCACTCGCACACAAATCAAATACGGTCCAGATTCTGAAAAAATCACTGTCAATGAGATACTCTGTTAAGAAAAGCAGTTCAATCGCCAATATTAGGATTACGGCAGTTCTTCACTAGTGCGCTTAAAGAAATCCACCAACGTAATTTTCGTAGGGGAAAAGTATGGTATGCAATGGCGTTTACGGAAAGCATATATATATCGAGATTTAACGGCAAGCGTTCAACAGAAAACCCACTGTTATCCTTTCCTGTGATTTAAGCCCGCTCATAAACACTCAAGGATTAACAGTGTCCTTGAAAATCCTGGAAAGCCCTCGGAAAGGGTAATAGAGCGTTCGTTCCCCACCGCAGACACCTGCGGTCCGGAGTTTTGCCAATATCTCAACATTATCTCAGTTGTATTTCACATAATACCTTGCCGTTAAAAATTATAGTAGGCAGTAAATGAAAAGGTTAAGATTGTAGTAGTGTAATTCCCACGAGGTCTCCCCGTGACATATTCAGTGGAAGACTTATAGAAAGCGGTGAGTGTGCAAAGAAGCTACTTTGTGTTCAATGTGGCTGAAATCCTAATTTAGCATTTCCTCTGTTTTTTTATAGAGGTGTTTGGCTGGGTAGATTGCCGTCAACTTGAGCCTTCCAGACTCTGAGGAGGACGAAATCCCCCGAAACGTCAACTTGTGCGTAAATAAGTAAATAAAATAACACCTCGTGTTTGCTAAATGAGAATACGAAGAATCGTAGTAGTATATCTTTATTACGCAACATTTAATTGTAATACAATACGTTTTTTTATTTCCCTTTTTTGTTAGCTACGCTTTTTCCACATTCTATTTTGTGCTTGTAAAAATGAACTACCAGAACGAAGCAACTAAGCACGAGCATAAACAATCCTAAAAAGTCAAAATTAACGGTGGACGGCGAGCTGATCTCAACGCGCACTTCCAGGCTGTGTTGAACACGATAGCCAAGCCATTGCAGGACTGTTGATGTGACTAAGAGGAAAGCTGAATCCGATTTATGACTTCCTCATGGGCATTCTCCTGGAACCGTGGAGGACAAGGCTTCCGATGGAACCACCGACAAGATAACGTTGGCACT